CACAAATTCAACCAATCGGGCAATTACAGTTACATGCGACAATTGAGAACTGTAGACGAAAGGCATCAGTTGACTTGGATGTTACCAAGCCTTTCGAGATCCTCCTTGCTCTCATGGCTGTTTTTCATCTAGTATTCTGCCAGGACTGTTCAGGATGACTCGTGTGAATAGTTCTGCAGTCAACACGAGGATTGGGCAATAATTGCCTTCGCCAGTTGCTGTACAAAAAGGGAGACCAGCACGACTAGTCTCCCTTTTTGTACAGCAACACGGTCCTGCTGGTTCCCACGATGTGGGTACCTCGCTTGTCGTAAAGAGCTGAGCGAAGTTTTGACGAGAACTGGCGAATTCTTCAGATGTTCGGGTCTGATCCTGTCGGGACCGGGTGCCGTACGATTCTTCACCGACGAGATGGCGTGTCGGACTTCGGAAGGGAGAACTGCAGGAACGACGTATCCATCCTGCTTCTCGCGCTACGATGGCGGGCAGACATGGCCTTCAAAGAGATCAGATCGTAGGTGACCTTCTCCATTACCCTTGGGGATGCAGTGATTGTTCCATCCGGACGTCGGAGGCGAGTCCGAACCGTCTGCATGGTAAGCGCCATTTGACACTGCACCATCTCCGCTCCCACAACCCAGATAACTATAAATATGACAGAGCAGGAACAACGATGAGTCGACAATCAACGTAACTATTTTATTATGTACACTTATAAGAATTTATGCTCAGCTCGGCTTATTGAGCACCAGAGATCAAATACATGCAATAAATAAATAAATATGGAAACGCCGTAGGGGCAGTTTGCCGACGGGGGGGGGGGCATTTTGCACTTTCGTTGCTTCACTAGTTCTGGTTTACAAGGAACTCTTGTGAAGCTGGAGCAAGCTCGTCAAGCCATCATGGTAAAACCTGTCAACTCGAGAAGAGGCTGTCTAGATGGGTCGACACGTCGATGGGAAGTCGTTAAAGTGCAAAATGCCCCCCCCCCTGTCGACAAACAGCGCCACGCCGTAGCAGAACAACAGGAACATTCAATGTTCATCAAGAGCAGGTTTCAAATCAGGTAGTGTAGGCCGAAGAGGAGATGATGGAAAATACTTCGTTACCAACTCCAAGGCGAGCTTATTCAAGCGGTACCTGAAGAAATACACAATTGTCCAGCAATCTTCTTTCAGATGAGCCAGTAAAATGATAAAAATTGAGTATGAAGGTTTTCACAGATATTACTCCTACTAACACTAACTAACAGGATTATAAAATGCATACCCGCATCGGTAATACTCCGTATCTACGCCATTGAAACTGTAGCAATTTGCGAACATGCGGCATAAATCGGCAATAAATAAGTGTTGCTAAATAGAATAATGAGAGGAATACAATAAAAACAGAAACGAGGGAATGCACTCACGTGGACGTAGTATTTGGCTCGAATGCGTTCAGACATAGTTTTGAGATCAATCGGGTATTCGATATAATCGTAGTATTCAGGGACCTGAATTTGCAAAAATAGAAGACAGACTACACTATTTCGCGAGTCCAACCAGCCCCTAACCGAATAAGATTTTCTGAGAGCTGGGGATCCTGTGATCTAACTAAAAATGGAACGTAATTTAGAGCGCCTATTCGTGGTGGGACTCATATCAAAAACTCGCCATCTGAGCTGTTCTCCAATCTGCTTTCAAACCTCCACAAAACGGCCCTTTGAGTGGAATCATGAAGGTCATATGTAGCCATATCGGACGGGCACATTTAGGGCAGGACGGTTTTTTTTCACTTTCACCTTCACAAAAGTACCCGCTTTCTCCCTCTCCTGGTTGAACCCCATAGCATTGACCGCTTATGAAGGGCGGATC